GAGTCAACATAGAGCAGCAGACACAGAGCTAAGGCTGATTGGGGTTTTGTGCGAGTTAGCAACAGAAATTTAGGTACAAACATATGAATTAGAGCTAATCACACAATCTCATAGATAAGCTTGTTTATGGACAGGGAAAGGTGGGAAAAGCAGCAGAGCGTTGAAACTCTAGGCGAGCATCAACATCATTAAATATCTGTACCCCACAGATGCTTTGCATGAAATACAGGCAGTCCCCAGGTTGCAAACAGGTTTTGTTCTAGAGCCCACTTGTAAGTTGAATTGTATGCAACTCAGTACACAGTGCAGGACAATATCACTATTTATAAGTACGGGAAATGTTTGTATGTCAGACCTTTAAAACTACATCCCTGCATGGGATCATATTAGTTAGTCGGACGTTTGCGAATTAGGGATCTCCTGTATTAAACCAAGACTCCAGCTGGCTGAATCCAGGAGACCAGCCACAGAATAAACTTTACGCAGCATTCCTCAGTTAATAGCACCCACATCACAGCAATTTATGGGAAATCACGGTCTATAACTGTGGATGCTCAGTCAATTAACATAATGCTTGCTACCATGTGCAATAATTAGTCTTACATGAGATACTCATAATGCTATTGGATAGTGTGAAAAGGCATTACAAATGCAATTTCCTTCTGAAAACACAAAGGCCAAACACCTAAAGGTTAACAGGTACTTACTTGAGAGAGTTAATCTCAAGTACAAGATGGTCACATGAAATATTTTCTTCTAAGCCTCGTTGCAGTGTGCCAAGAACTTCATTCTGAAAAACTGTGGGAGGGCAAGATAATAGGGATAGGGTGGTGTGAGACACAATGCAATGCAGATCAGATCTCTACAATGTTCAGTATTGGAGAGCAGCAATTAAAAACAAAATGAAGGTACATCAGACTTTCAGCAACTGCAGCAAACAAAATGATCCCAAAATATTGATGATATTTCCCCTTCTTGTCAACGTACCTTTCTCCTTCTGTGGTTAAACACCCATCAAGACACAGTTCCACATGGCTGCTACCTAACCCAAGTAGTCATTGTTCATTGGTAGGACTTTCACAACATACTCTGACAGGTTACTCAGCTATAGGTGGTATCAGAGATTCTCTGGTTTGATACAAAGGCAAGTCGGACAGGGCTTGCTGAATAGCAATGAAGGAAAGGTGCACCATGGTCAATTTGTGTCGCTCAAGATCAGCAAGCTTATACATACAGTTATTTAGAAAAAAGACCGGGAGTCTGGGATTATTTCATTGCATCTGCAATAATACTCAGTGTTAAGTTCTGCATACATTACATTTGTGACTAATTGCTATTTGTTCTATAATTATAGCATGCAAGTCCTGACGAGTGCATATATAAAGAGAATTTTGAAACAAAAATTGTTGTTAAGCTATACATCATTTGGAAGTCAGAATGAGTCAAATTAACTAGTTTATCTAGAGAGGTATCAAGCCGCCAAGGCCAGGAAGGTACCAGACTCCAATCTGGTCTGCACCGAACTGTCTAATCTCTGATGGAAGACAACCAAGAAGTGACCTGAAAGATAAAAATTATGAAGAAGGAGTGCAGTAGGGGAAGCATGGAGGGAGTGTATTATGAGGAAAGGTTGAGTACACTGGGCCTGTACTCATTAAAGTTTAGAAGAATGAGAAGTGACCTTATTGAAATATACAACATTCTTAGGAGACTTTACAGGTTTGATGCGGAAAGCTTGTTTCCCCTTGTGGGAGAATCTAGGACCAGAAGGCACAATCCCAGAATAAGGGGTCACCCAGTTAGGACGGAGATTTTCTGCTCGGGGAGTGGTGAATTTGTAGAATTCTTCGTCGCAGTGGGCTACAGAGGTTGGGTGGTTAAGTACATTCAAGGAGGAATCACGTTCATGGGGAAAAGGCAGGAAAGAGGAGTTGAGGATTATCAGCAATGAATTCATTGAATGGCAAAGCAGATTTAATGGGCTGAATGGCCTGCTTCTGCTCCTACATCCTAAGGTTTCTAAAATCTATATAACAATGCTTTTGTCACTTTCAAGGATAAAGTGCGCTGTTCAGTTGCAGGAGTACACGGTGGTCAAATATGTATTTTTCCAAAGTTTTCATATTAGGAAATGGGCAGTTGGGTAAGGTGACAGAGGATGATGGGTGGCATGGAACTGAAGGCCAGCAAGGAAGAACTGGTGCAACAGACCAAATCAAAAGGAAAAGCCATGTAGGAATCTAAGGAAACAAAGACTTTTCTTTAAAAGAATAGGTTTGCGAACAATTTACTTGAATGGTAGTTGGATGAGGGGCTTCAGTAATGTACAGAGACAAGAGCACCTTGAACGATTCTGTTAAATTAGAGAAGGTTAGAAGATTCTGTTTAAGATGTATAAATTTATGAATGGTTTTGATAAAGAAAATCTGAAGAACTGTGTCTGCAGGTTTGATGCCGTTGATAAAGAAGTTGGAAAAGGCACAAATAAGAATTCTTTTTTTGAGCAGAGTGAATTATACACTACCTGAAAAGGGTGGAAGAATTAGATTCAATACAAATGTCCAAAAGCAAAACCAAACAAACACTTTGCAGGGCTATGGGATAAGAGCAGGCGAGTGGGACTGATTGTACAACACCACCAATAGGCTGGTGCAGACAATAATAGGCTGAATTGCTTCATTGTGAGCTGTACCCTTCTGTGATTCTACATCTACACAAGAAAAACACTCCATCGACAAGACAAGTACATCAATGACTCGTTTGAAATCTCTACTCATCACGGATTTGCAGGGATATGGGCCAGTAGCTGGTAGGTGGGACTAGTTTAGTTTGAGATTATGTTGGGCATGGACTAGTTGGACTGAAGGGTTTGTTTCCGTGCTGTGTGACTCTATGACTTACTCCAACCACAGCAAGCCCACAATCTCAACAAAATTTGCCAAACGGAAAGATGTGATTTTAAAAAGAGTTTTGAGAAACAAAGACAACAACACAACAGGGAAATTCCAGGGTCCAGGCTGCAGCTAATTCGAGGGGTTTAACATCTCCTTGCTCAGCCAATGCAAACAAATTCAAATCGGCTCCGTGAGGACATGGTGAGAGGAGATAAGGAAGAAAATTGCATTTCCCTCACAACCCAAGTGTCTGAAATCATTTAATTTCATGTCTGAGCAGGTTTGCTCAGACTGTAATCTAGAATCTCCTGGAACACCATCTTTCACATTTTTGTGTGAATTGAGGTCACAGAATAATTGCAAAAAAGGCAATGAACATTCATCATATTATAATTCACCCTACCTGAGGTTGAATTCCTCCACTGCATTATCTAATCAGTTCTTAAATCATGCCAGGGATTCCTTTTCGCCTTATGACTTTAATTGGGAGCCCACACCGATCACTCCCTGCAAGAACTACTACTGACTTTTACTAGTTTAAACCCGTTCTTGTTTGTCCTAGTTTTGCAATTTAATTAAAAATATTTAATTCCTAGGATGTGGGCGACACCGGTACTGCTGTACTTATCACCTGTCTCCAGCAGCCCTGAGGTGAAGTGCCTTTTCTTTGTCATCTGAACCACCACCTGCCTTTGTGGGACTTGTAATGATGGAGCTCCTAGAAAGAAGGAGCTGCTAGGATACAGAGTAAACAATAGTGAAGGCAGACCAATTTCTGTCAACACCAGGGTGGTGTGTGACTTGAAGGCAAGGGTGTCACAAAATTAACACTGAACACACTGCAGCTAAAGGTAAGATATCAGCATTACTGGCAAGGCAGCAAATTCTTGCCCATTCTCAACTGCTCTTGAGAAGGTGGTAGTAAGCTGCCTTCTTGAACTATTGCAGTCCATGCGGTGTTAGGGGCGGGGTGTTCCAGGATTTTGACGCAGCAACAGTAAAAGAATGTGGTATATTTCCATGTCAGAACAGTGTGTGGTTCAGAGGGGAATTTGCTGGTGGCGGTATTCCCATGCACCTGTTGTCCTTGCCCTTCTAGGTGACAGAGGTCATGGATTTGGGGGCAGCACGGTGGCTCAATGGTTAGCACTGCTGCCTCACAGCGCCAGGGACCTGGGTTCAATTCCACCCTTGGGCAACTGTCTGTGTGGAGTTTGCACATTCTCCCTGTGTTTCCGTGGGTTTCCTCCGGGTGCTCCAGTTTCCTCCCACAGTCCAAAGATGTGCAGGCTAGGTGGATTGGTCATGTTAAATTGCCCCAAGTGTTCAGCAACGTGTAGGTTATGTGAGTTATAGGGGGTTAAGTCTGGGTGGGATGCTCCAAAGGTCAGTACGGACTTGTTGGGTCAAAAGGCCTGTTTTCACACTGTAGGAATTCTATGACCTATGATTGTTGGCAAGTTGCTGCAGTGCATCCCGTATATGGAACACATAGTCAGAATGTCATTGGTGGAGAAAGTGAATGTTTAAGGCAGTGGGTGGGCTTCCAATCAGATGGACTGCTTTGTACTGGAGAATGCTAAGTTTCTTGTGTTTCTTTTTGCAGCTCCTTCATCCAGGCAAGGGGAGAATATTGCATCACACTTCTGACTTGTGTCTTTAAAATAGTACACAGTGTTTGCGGAGTCATGAGTTATTTGTGTCAGAATTTTCAATCTCGGACAGGTTCTTCTTGTCAATGGTTAAAAGCTAGTCTGTTTCTGGTCAGTCATAACCCCAGGATGTTGAGATGTCTGTAATGGGAGATTTGGCAATATAATGCCATTGAAAGTCAAGGGGAGATGGCTAGGTTCTCCGTTGTTGGAGGTGGTCATTGCCTGATACTTAGCACATGGGTGTTACTTGCCACTTATCAGCCCAAGTCTGAATGCTGTCCATGACTTGCTGCATATGGGCCAAGACTTCTTCACTATCTGAGGAGTCATGAACATTGTACAATTATCAGCAAAAATCCCTACTTCTGACTTTTCAATGAAAGTAGGGTCACTGAAGCAGCAGCTCATTATGGTTAGCCTTGGAAAGTATCCCGAGGAGGTCTTGCAGTGAATCCAACCTGAAGAGTACAGTTTGGCATTTATTTCATTCCTGCAGCTCAGGAACACTGAAGCAGACTGTAACACATCTTAACCCTGCTCTTCTGAACTTCTGCATAAACCAGAAATCCACCCAGCAGTTAGTCAGACCTGCCTAGATGTAACTGTCTTACCTTGATGCACAACAATAAATCAAATATTTCTCATTCCAAAACTGCTAATGGGACCTCACCTTTTGCATCATCCAGCTGAGGTGAGATACTTCTACTATCTGCCTCTCGTGAGCTAACGCTCATCTCACTTTCACTCTCACTCTCAGATTCAGAATTTAACCTGAGACCTGCAATGGAGAAAAAATTCTATGATAAGAAAACAGAAAACTAAAAGATAAAATTCTTGGCAGCAGAACTGATCACAGAGGACGTCCATCTAGAACAAAGAGGTTCTGAGCAATCTAGAGAGCTTTCTTCAGGAAAGAAAACGATCTACACTAAACTCCAGAAAAGCTTGAGCAAAGCAAATAGCTAACAATATATCACAAAGGAGCTTTAATAGCTGTCAGTTAACTTATCATGATGAGTTAACACAATCAACTACTGATTTGCCTTTGTAACTGTGGTTTTCTGGCACTCCAGATTAGGGAATTAAGAAAGAAGCTCCTCGAGCTTGCCGTGAAATCTGGTTTCTACTGTCTCTGTCCTGATATCAGCAGTCATTATGGAGGGTCTTGTATGTGAATATCAAGCTCTCAGCATTGTGTTGGCTACATTAAAACAGGTGATGCCATTTTCTGTTTTTTTCATACAGGTCCTAATGAAAAGAAAGAAGCCAAACATATAACACACTGGATATTTTCATTAAACTGTTCAAGAAATAGTCAGCATTGTAACTCTCATCACTATCATACTCACTCAGGGTTCTTCGACTATGTAGGAGAGCTGAGATTTGTTTTACACTTCAGTTAAACTTGTGTAATGAGAAAGTTAGTGGAAACCTTTACTCTCACAGAGGGGAAAGGTCTCCATGGACTAATTAGGCCAAATAGCCTGATTCCAAGCTACTTCTACATATTTTCACCAAGAGAGAAAACCAAAACATATTTTCATTATGTTTGATAGCACGTGTCACAACCATAAAATGCCCAATGCACTTTTTTCAGCCAGTCAAGTACTCATTGAAGTACGGTCACTATTGTAAGAAATATGGCAGCCAATTTGCGCATAGTAAGCTCCCAAAAACAGCAACCTGATAATAAGATCATATGTTTCAGTGAAGTTGTTGATGGATAAATATTGGATTGGGCATCCCAGGATGATTTCCATGTTCTTCTTCTAAGTAGTATTTTGGACTCTTTTGTATCCAACTAAGGGAACAAATAAGTTTAAACCTCTCATCCGAAAGACAGCTCCTTTAAAAAATGAATGCAACTGCTGAATAATTAACCAGGATGGACACTGAATTAGATAAATGAGCTCAAGATGCAACTGTGCATCTTTCTGGAGAAAGGACTGGCTACAGAACATGATGAAAAGGTATGTTTGCGAGGGGGTGCTATTTCTCCAAACGGCCAAGTTGGTTGGATTAACTGAAACTTCTCGACTTTAAATTCCAGCATTTTTCCTGAAAATCCTTACCCCATATATTCGGCACCAGCTCATCATCTTCATTATCATTCTCTGTAGCAGTTGTCCAGATATATCCCACACCCTGTGATCCCACTTCAGCCTGGTTGTAGCCTGTGCAACAACAGATGGAATGAGACAAAGTCTGGATTGCCACTATTTTATTGTGTGATTTATTCAACAACTACACATACCCAATCACATTTTCATCAGGCAGATGAGGGCCACACATCTCAGATATGGCAAAGGTGGGATCTCATTTTGTTCAGTAAAGAGGACCATGCACCACTGTACCATTAAATTTCTGTCTGTGACTGAACACATCCACTATATCTTACAAAGCAAGGCCTTTCAAAACAAAACAGACCTTTCAGGCCACTGCATCAGCAACCTGCACTGCTTAGCTGACATATGAGATAACAAGGTGTAGAGCTGGATGAACACAGCAGGCCAAGCAGCATCAGAGGAGCAGGAAGGCTGACGTTTCGGGCCTAAACCCTTCTTCAGAAATGGGGGAGGGGAAGGGGTTTCTGAAATAAATAGGGAGAGAGGGGGAGGCGGAAAGAAGATGGATAGAGAAGATAGGTGGAGAGGAGACAGACAGGTCAAAGAGGCGGGGATGGAGCCAGTGAAGGTGAGTGTAGGTGGGGAGTTAGGGAGGAGATAGGTCAGTCCAGGGAGGATGGACAGGTCAAGGGGGCGGGATGAGGTTAGTAGGTAGGAGATGGGGGTGGGGCTTGAGGTGGGAGGAGGGGATAGGTGGGAGGCGGGGACGAGCTGGGCTGGTTTTGGGATGTGGTAGGGGGAGGGGAGATTTTGAAGCTTGTGAAGTCCAGATTGATACCATTGGGCTGCAGGGTTCGCAAGCGGAACATATGGATGTCTGGAGGGTTGGAAAGGATTTCAACAGTGTTCTCAGTTTTTGGTGAGCTGCTCTTCACTGGCTAGTGTTACGTATCAGAAGTCGACCCTCCCCGATAACTAAAACTGAAACATCCAGAGAAGCTACTAAAGGAAGTGTGAAAAGTGGTATAACCTGCCTCTCACTCCCTAATCTGTTATAATGGGGAAGTTAAATGAAATGAACTCCTGACAGTTACTCAGTAATTAACAAGTAACAATTTATTTTATCTAACTCTAATGGTAAACAACTTAATAGAACTAACAAACTGAACAATTTCCTTTAACTGTTTCAGAGACCGCTTTGCGGAACGCCTATGCTCGGTTCGCAACAAACAACTGCACCTCCCAGTCGCGAACCATTTCAACTCCCCCTCCCACTCCTTGGACGACATGTCCATCCTGGGCCTCCTGCAGTGCCACAATGATGCCACCTGAAGGTTGCAGGAACAGCACCCCATATTTCGCTTGGGAACCCTGCAGCCCAATGGTATCAATGCGGACTTCACAAGCTTCAAAATCTCCCCTCCCCCAACCACATCCCAAAACCAGCCCAGCTTGTCCCCGCCTCCCTAACCTGTCCTTCCTCCCACCTTTCCCCTCCTCCCATCTCAAGCCCCACCCCCATCTCCTCCCTACTAGCCTCATCCCGCCCCCTTGACCTGTCCGTCCTCCCTGGACTGATCTATCCCTCCCTAACTCCCCACCTACACTCACCTTTACTGGCTCCAT